CCACTCTGGAAGGACTACACAGTTCCTGCTGCCTCAAAAAAGCTCAGAACATCATTAAGGACACTTCACACCCAGGACGTTCACTCTTTGAACTGTTGCCATCAGGTAGATGGTTCAGAGCAATCAAATCAAGGACCATAAGGTTCAGGAATAGTTTTTACCCAACAGCAGTTACCACACTGCTGTTGGGTAATAAAACAAAATAAAAATAAAATAAAAACATACACTCCAAATATAAATACACATATACATTGCCCCATATATGCTGTGAGATAATGAACATATACAGTAGCTGATTTTTTTGTAGTGGGAAAAATATTTTTTAAAGTGACAGGAAGTCAATAATGGCAACACAGTAAAATAACTGTAATAATCCTCTTGACATGACAGAAAAAGATATTTTGAAGTTCCAGAGGAAGCAGAGTTTATTTTTTCCTGACAGATTTATTGAAGCTCAAGTCAACAATTTATCCAGATTATCTATCTAAAACCAAGCATACAGTACAAAGATGAGCTCCAACATAATGAACCAGAGTGGATCTTAAAGTGCCTTATCTCAGAAGGAAGAACAGTGTCTGCTGTTTTCACTCTACACCAACGACTATATCTCGAAGGACCCCTCTGTCAAGCTCCTAAAGTTTGCTGATGACACAACGGTCATTGGTCTCATCCAAGACGGTGATGAGTCAGCCTACAGACGGGAGGTTGAGCAGCTGGTCATGTGGTGTAGCCGCAACAACCTGGAGCTGAACACGCTCAAAACAGTGGAGATGACAGTGGACTTCAGGAAGAGACCCCCCCACACACACACACACCTTACCCCCCCTCACCATATTTGGCAGCACTTCAGCAACCAAACAGGACAAGTACAGACTTCAGCAGACAATCAGGACTGTAGAAAAGGTCATTGGTGTGAGCCTGCCCTCCATGGAGGACGTGTACACCACACGAGTCAAAAGGAGGGCGGAGAGGATCACTACAGACCCCTCACACCCTGGACACAATCTGTTTGAACTCCTCCCCTCTGGAAGGCGTTACAGGTCACTGTGCACTAAGACAACCAGGCACAGGGACAGTTTCTTCCCCCGGGCCATCACTCTGATTAACACGTGACCCACGACAGTATGACTGGACAATAACCCTCAGTCCAACACCTGTAAATATACATTGTACAGATTATACAGATTCATAGAGGTCTCTATTTTTAAGTACTCTATTTTTATTCCTATTTCTTTAAATTCACAATGAGCATTCCTTCGTCTGTCTGCATTGTTTACTGCTTGTTAATACTGCTTATTTTGTTATATTACACAGCCTTATGTTGGTTTACTGTTTACTTGCCCCTTGCATGTGGATATGTATATACACATCAAGAGCTGATGTACCAGAGTCAAATTTCTCTTGTGCCTTACACACCTGGCCAATAAAGCTGATTCTGATTTTGATTCTGATTCTGGTTAGACACAAGACTCAGGAGGATGTCAACAAGGGCATCAGTGACAAATGGTGGGTATGTGTTGAGGCTTGCCAGCTGCCTGTTAGACTCTCTGGAAGAGGTCATGGTCCACAGGGCAATACGTGAGGTCTCACCAACAGGTGGATGTATGTGGGACAAAGCTGAGCACACTCCAAGCACACCTTGACTGGAAAGAATACAAGAAAAAGCAAGAGAAATAGGGAACAGAATGTAATTTAAATGTTTTTAATATTACGTTTTTAAACAGTGTTCTGAACTGCTAATTTTTGTTCATTATAATTTGAAATTTAAACAAACATTTAAAAATCACATCAACACAGTAATCTGCAGTGTAGGTCAGCCTGAGTTTTAATTTAGACCTGGGGGGATAATTACAATATCATTTATTTAATTGTTATTCTATGTCAAAATTAAGCTCAATCTCAAAATATTTATAAAGTTTGTGACCTGAGCAGTTTCTAACTAAATGCAATGAAATAACAATCACTCTGTGCCCACTGTAATGTGAGGAGCTTGAACTCAAGTAGTTGTTCCTTTGAGAATTTCCTGAAATGCAGCCACAGCCTATATGGGGTTATTTCCTCAGGATAGCATTATCAGTACTTCTGTCACCAGTTCTTATTTGAATATATAGCAATATTTCTTTTTTTGTCATTGTGTATTATCCCTGTGTTGTGTTAGTGTGTCAGTGCATACACACAAAATGTATTTAAATAATATATATAAAGATTAAATCAAATAAAATGTATACTGTTGCAGTTGAAAGTCCAGCCAGGAAAGCTTTCTTAAAGTTTTTTTTTTTGTGCTGGTGTCAGCTGATTCAGTATTTTCAGTGATGTTGGCTCTAATTTCTGCTTATAATAAGAAAATGTGTCAAGCACAATGTTTTGCTTCTTTTTAAGAGGTTTATATACCAATTTCCACTTATGTGCATAAAAATAACCATGCTTAAATGTGAGTTTTGATGCTGATAAAACCTAATACGGTGATGGATTAAAGGAAAAACCTGAATTCCTAACTCCTACAGTGATGCGATCATTGACTCTTGTATGTTGTAGGAGACATTTTGCTGGCAGGGTTTGGATCCACTTGTCGACTTAGAGAGATGAATCACTGCAAATCAATAGAAAGTTGTTCTGAGTCAGCGTCTTAATCCTGTGATGAAACCTTTCCATCCTGATGGCAGTGGTCTCCTCTAGAATGACAGTGCCCCCATTCATAGGACTGGAGGAGTCACTGAATGGTGTGATGAGGATGAAGATGATGTGAATCATATGTTGTGGCCTTCACAGGCACCAGGTCTCAGCCCAGTTGAGCACCTATAGGAGATTTTTGCATCTATATTTATTCAGGGTAGGTTCGTGAGAGGCCACCTCTTTTTTCAGTAATGCCGTGTTCCCATTTACACACACCTGGAAGCTGCCCAGTACAAACCCAGTCTGACCTGCTGGCCGCTGAGCAGCTCCACTTAAGGGCCCTGTTCAAGATCATGACGATGTTAAAGAGGACAAATGCTGCAATGTCACCTGTCCTGGGTTTCTGGAGGGTGAATGTCTGGGGATTGAATCACTTATCTTCATTCTGGATTGACATGTTAGTGCTCTCAGCCAACATCAAAAACGTTGAACAAATTAGGCAAAATACTCATAACACATCAATATCACTATACACGCCCAAGTGGTGTGTGCCAGTGCAGATGAGAGGTGATACACTCCCAGTGTTATTGTTACGATTTCCTGTATTTGTATTTGTGTTTGCGTTTACACCATCTCTCCCTGCTGTTCTGCCACCATAATCAGCCATCATGCCATTTACCTGCCGTTCATTATGTCCCGGTCCTGCCTTATACATATACACCCTGTTTTCCACTCATTTGCTGCTGGTTCATTGATGATTACAGGTCCTGACATGCACAACCTGATCTTCGCCCCACTCCTGCAGTTTCTACCGGCCCTCTGGTTCCTGTGTCCCTCCTGGTTCCTCGCCTTACCTGTCCCCTGTTGCCCGCTGCACTTCCTGCCAGCCCTGAGCTGGCTTGACTTCCTGCCACCCAGCATAACCTGTTACTTATTTAATAAACTGCTTTCTATAGGTCCTACTCCTCTAGTTTTTGAGTCTGCATCTGGGGTCCACACCACACTCGCCTTACTTACTGCCATGAAACTGTAATGATACTTAATCAAAATCAAACAGCCTACATTAGCCATCCTAGCACTCTAGGAATGGCATTGCCATTCTGTCACCATTTTGGTCTAAACTGAAGTACAGTATCTCAACAACCTCAAACAAAGGAGTTAAATACCTTGTTCATGAATTATAAAATGGAGCATGAGATTGACAGGTGGATTAGTGCAGATTCAGCAGTAATGCAGCCGCTGTAAAGGGCCATTGTGGTGAAGAGGGAGCCAGAGCTGATGTAAAAGGTAGAGCTTTTCAATTTACTAGACAGTGTTCTAACCCCCACCGATGGTCTTGAGTTTTGGGTAATAAGTGAAGGAATGAGTTTGTGAATGAATACAAGCAGTTGAAATGAGTTTCCTCCCTCGGGTAGATATGGGGTACAGAGTGATAAGACCACTTCATTGATGTATTTTTCACAAAAATGTGACTACAATGAAATTAAAACCAACATTTGAAAATGAGCACTATAATGAAATGGTTTAGATTCTTTTGTCAAAAACTACCCAGTAACATGAAAGATGGATATGAAGTAATACTGTATCTTAAAGTCTCAAAGTCACAAACTGTACTGTAGCTCTTTGTAAGTAAAATGCTGACATGTTTTCTTTGGCATCTAAAATATTTCTTGTTCACAAGTTGAATGAGCTGCTTTGCATACTACTGTGAACAAGCAGCTGTCTTACATATCTGCCTTCCATAGCCAGAAGAAACATCTGACTTCCCGGGTTGGGCCCTCTTTTGGTTTTGTTCATCTGCTGTTAAAAACAATAATGGCAAATCATGGAAATATTATTGATATTCCTGGTTCTGAAGTGTTATGTTAAAAATAAAAGATAATCACTGTCTGTTTGAAACTGAAAACAAACATTGGCTTCCCATGTTAAAGTCCATTGTTTTGACAACCCACCCATCCACCCCAGCTTACTCAGGACTTACTCAGGACTGTTGCTCACTGTGTAACAGCATCACCTGACTTCTCCCGCTGCTCCCATTATAATTACTATAGCCACTGTGGGTTCTGGAACTTGTTCTTTGGAGAGTTGCTGGAATTCAACGCTGTATTTTTCACACATAGCTTTAAATTTGGTTTGTTCTAACAATGATGGCATGATATTCTCCTCTCCTCATCTCTACCTCAGGTATCATCCGTACAGCAATGTCCAACATGGACCGTGAGACCAGGGGCCAGTACGCTGTGGTAATTCAGGCCAAAGACATGGCAGGCTCAGTTGGGGGATTGTCTGGATCCACCACTGTCAACATCACCCTCACTGACGTCAATGACAACCCGCCAAAGTTTCTGCAGAGTAAGTGATCCCACTCATTCACAATGCACTGTTGACAGCAACCGATCAACAACCAAAATGTTGCTTCATCTTTATGCTTCATTTTGCTGTTCCCTTTTGTCCTGCAGCTGTGGTAAAGATACAGATAAATAAAAAAAATAGGCCTTTTTAAATAAAAGAATCAGTGCTTCATTTGCATGAATATCAGCAAAAAGGCATCACATGGCCAGATCTGGATCTGAATCAGTATGCTGAACACACAAGGAAGTTGACTTTGGTACAGTGGTTCTCAATGTTATTATAAATATACAGTACATGCACTGTGAAAGCTTTGAGATATGTAGATATAGTGGTGGTTATTATTACACCCCTAGTGTAATAATAACCTGAAGTTATCTCCACTGTTTTGAGCATGTTCAGCTCCAGGTTGTTGCACCCACACCACAGGACCAGATAGGATAAGTATAATCACTTTTATTGGCCAAGCATGTTACACACACGGGGAAATTGTTTCCGGTACAAAACCGATGGCAGCCATCTGTGGCGCCAACTCAACCGATGGCTCTAACCATCGGGGGCAACGGGAGGATTCAGTGTCTTGCCCAAGGACGCTCTGACATGTGGACTGCCAGCACCGAGATTCAAACCTTCAACCTTCTGGTTAGGAAACAACTGCTCTGCCCATTTCACCACTGTTCATCCTCCTGTCTGTAGGCCAACTTCTCATCATCTAGGACAGGGGTGGCCAATTCCAGTCCTTGAGGGCCGCTGTCCTGCTTGTTTTACATCTATCCCTGCCTGACCTGCTGCTGATTACCTGGCTCAGGTGTGTTCAGCCAGTCAGAAGCTGGAAGATGCCATCTTAGATGAAAGTGGAGTGAGGAAAGATAAAGTGAATTGGTATCTTCCAGCTTGAGAGTGATGGCTGTTGTGTCACCAGCAAACTTCAGGAACTTTACAGAGTGGTCCTCTGAGGTCTAGTCATTGGTGTAGAGTGAAAACAGCAGAGGGGAGAGCACACATCCCTGGGGGGCGCCTGTGCTTATTGTACAGGTGCTGGATGTGGTTTTCCCCAGCCTCACCTGCTGCTTCCTGTCTGGCAGAAAGTTGGTGATCCCGTGACAGGTGGGGGCAGGCACAGTGAGCTGGGTCAGTTTGGAGTGGAGGATGTCTGGGACGATGGTATTGAATGCTGAGCTGAAGTCCACAAAGAGGGCCCGTGCACAAGTCCTCAAGGAGTTGAGGTGTTGCCTTGTTGACTGCATCATCCACTGACCTGCAAACTGCAGGGGCTCCAGCAGGAGGTCTACAATGTCCTTCAGATGGGCCAACACCAGTCTTTCAAAGCACTTCATAACTACAAATGTCAGGGTGACAGGTCTGTAGTCGTTGAGTCCACTGATGGAGGGTTTCTTGGGGACTGGAATGATGGTAGAGCGTTTAAAGCAGGAGGGAACTTCACACATCTCCAGTGACCTGCTGAAGATGTGGGTGAAGATGGGGGCCAGCTGATCAGCATAAGCTTTCAGGCAGGGGGGGGTACAGGGAACAGCTGCTGGTGGTGTGTATGCAGTGGTGTGGGTGAGACGTGTGCAATGTTGCTTCTCAAACCTGCAGTAAAACAGGTTCAAGTCATCTGCCAGATGATGTTCTCCACCACAGGGGTGATGGTTTACTATAGCTGGTGATGTTCTGCAGGCCTCTCCACACTGACACAGGGTTGTTTGGTGAAAACTGGTTCTTCAGCTTTTCAGTGTATCATATTTTCTACTCTGATCTCCTTGTCCTCACAAAAGCTGATGCATGATGTCACAGTGTCAGTGTGTGTTCATCCAGGTCTGTAGATGCAGCTTCAAAAACACTCTTCGGTCAAAGCAGCCCTGCAGCTCTGATTTCACAACTTTAAAGCTCTGTCTGTAGGTCAGGATCAGATGGACCGTGCAGTGGTCAGAGTCCCAAGGCAGTGAATGGGACAGAGAGATAGGCGTCTTTTATTACAGTATAGTTAGCACTTACAGTGGAGCTATCAATGATACTGTAACATATTGTCCAACAACTAGAGAAACAAACCTCTAGTTTATTTTTTGTTGACGTTTAAAATGTGAACTAAATAGCATTAGTCATGTTCTCTTACATACAGCAAGACTTTTTTTGTTTTGTATTTGTGAACACAGAGACTGATTGATTAAAATGGCTGCAGATTGTCTGCAGCAGCTGGACAAAGTGGAACATGCTGAAATTATTGGCTGTTACAGTAATATAAGGTGAAATGGCTGGTGAACAGGACAGACACCAAAGTTGTTCAAACACATATATCTGTGAACACAGAGACAGTTTGTTTTAAAACTTCCAATGCGCATGTGAACTGTGTCAGTGATGGGACAGAGGCATGACAAGGACATAGTCCAACCAGAGGGTGAATCTGCTTCCAGTTAACATTAAGCAACAATATAAGCAATATGCAATTACTTTATATGTTATCATTCAGTTTTATAACTATTTTAAGTATCTGATGACAGAAGTAAAAATGATGTGTGAGAGTGTGACATATATTTACATGTTAATTTAGAGATGTAAGTTGCTCCAGCAAAAACAGACCTGTTGCATAAAGATAGCAGAACAGTGACCTGAGCTGTGTTTGCACTGTGCATGACCTGTGAGCAATCCACTCTATTACAGGAATCCAGTGGATGTTAGAGCAGTGATTAAAAATGGCTGCAGATTGTCTGCAAAGTGGAACATGCTGAAGTTATTTGTTACAGTTTTTCTGAATTGTTAAAACACATTTCTTGAAACCATCACTAATTTTCTCAAAGCCTTAAACACAAATCCAAATACTCAAACTAAATTCACAAAACCTCTGATGCTTCTGGCAAAATCAAACAATTGCTTCAAAACCATTACACCAGCACTCAAAATCCAACAGTGCTTTCAGATCATACACACGAGTCAATCATATACACACTGCAGTTCATTTATTAGGCTCTACATCAAAAAATGGAGAACAAAGCATCCAGGGCATGTAGTTACAAAAAGAAGTTTTAGTATAGTAAAAAACACACAAAACCAAAGAAATCACACGTAAGGTAAGTGTGGTGAATTTACAAAAAAAGCATGTTAAAATCAAAAAAGAAGAAGAAGAGGGGAAAAAAACACATCAGAAAGATTATTCTGCTTCAGGATCATGTCTTTGAGCTGGGCCTGGCCAGAGGGCTTCATCTGCATCACAGGCAATCTCCCTTCCCAGGCAATTGGCAACAACCCCTCTGGTGTGGCGGATCCAGCCTTGACAAGACTGCACGTCTATGTCACCGCAGGCCTGTAAGAGATTTTCCCTGGTATACAGGTTTCAGTCATAGACTTTCCACCGCCATGCAGAGCAAAACTCTTCTGTTGGGTTAAGGAAAGGGCTGTATGGTGGAAGGTCTTACTCTTCCTCGTCCTTTTTGTCCAACACCTCATATTCCTCTACCTCTCATATTGTTATCCATAGTTGATGGATGTACCCGTGCCATCTGTGCACTTTGAACTGGCTTATGATTTGTACCTTCTCATCACATAATTAGAAACAAGTGTGAATTGTTGTGTGTAAACGATGACAGCTGTGCTTTAGTTGTGTTTAAGTTCTGCTGTCGTCTGTTTAGTGTTTTGCAACACAAGTTCATCACAGTGTGAACTGTGTTTTAGTGAGAATGTGTTTAGATTTTAGCAAAAAGAGTGCATGAGATTTGCAAACAGTGTCTAAGTGCCTGAACGTGTTTGTTTAAGGTTTTGCAGAAAGAGTGATTTATTTGACAAACTGGTTTAGGCTATTTAGAATTTGGTTCAGAGAATGAGGTTTATTGTTTTAGCAATTGTAAAAAACTGTAATATAAAGCAAAGTGGCTGGTGTACATGACAGACACAAAAGTTATTCAAACGCAACATGTGCATTTGTTGTATAATTTATCTTAACAGCTGGCTACAAATTATTAGCATTAACTATTACATTGCTTGTTCATGAGAAGCACCTTCATCTGTGGATGTCCTACTGGTGCAAGTGCAATGATGTAAAACAGTAGGTCGTAGGAACACAGACCTACTAGTGCAATTGGAAGAAAAAGTAATTATCTCTTTTCAGTTTTATGATTATTTCATCTCGAAGCATGCCTTCTGTTTGGCTTCAGGTACGTAACACAGCAGTGTGTGCTTTGTAATGCATGTTAAGAATAAAATGTTAATTGCAATGTTGGAAAAACGGCAGTGACACACAATCCAATGTCTTCCACATAACCAGGCAGAGTACCAAGTTGTAGCAGGTGGATATGTGTTTGGTTATTTGGTAGCAGCCTGGTGTCATTTCCATGTGGTTTAATGAACATACAGTGGCGCTGCATAATGGAACCACACTATGGTGCAACGCATCTCCACTCAGAGGCTGCAGATTTATCAGCTTATCTGTTCTGCTGCCTTCAGATCTCTGCAGGGTTTTAATGAAGTACACAGTATAAAGCAGCCATGGATATCAATTACTAAGAGTCATATTCCTTCATAGAGAAATAAAGTACTGATTTACTAATGTTACTGCTTTAACGGTGGGGATATTTATTGACCTAAAAAAAGCATTTGACACAATCAATCATGAATTATTAATGGACAAGTTAGAAAAATATGGGATCAGAGGAATGGTTCTGAAATGGATTAGAAGTTATTTGACACAGAGGTGTCAATTTGTGAAGTTGGGTGAATACCAATTGAGTGAGCTGGATATTGTATGTGGAGTGCCTCAGGGTTCTGTTTTGGGACCTAAATTATTTATATTATACATTAATGATATATGCAAAGTTTCTGATTTAGTGAAAGTGGTTTTGTTTGCTGATGACACTACCATATGGGCATCCGGGGATAACCTACAGCAACTCTCTGGACGGGTTTCACAGGAACTTGAGAAGATAAAGAAATGGTGTGATAGTAATATAGTATCTCTGAATTTGGATAAAACTAAATGTATGGTATTTGGGAATCGTAGACTAGATAATGAA